CGGGGGTCCGCTTCCGAGGCCAGCGGTTCACCGTGTGTAGGCGTGTTAGCTAGTTTCGCCCGCAAATGTAAAGGCCTGACGAGAATTAATCGGAAAAAAACGTATGTTCGCCATTTTATATTCTGAAGTTTTCAATAGGAATTTTCGCAAATTTGAAACTAATAGGGTAAATTACTATCTTTGCCCTTGGTAAACAGCTATCTGTCAGTCTCGTTTACTTCATCCCTAAAACCGCGATTGCAATCCTTCCTGTGGTAAAGGAGTCCCGTCTCCCTTTGTTGTCCGTGAGCCCATATGTCTGGTCATCACCACAGCCTTCTTATATAGAGGAAACAACCATAGATGGAATAACGAACATTTACTATTAATAATCTGTTAATTTGCTCAGATATCTCATGTCCGAGCCCTCTCAGTATACAAGGCAAAAGTCGACAGAGAACGTGGGAGATGGGTCGTGAAAACAGAGTCATTTTGATTCGAAAGTAGACTTCAGTTTACACCGTACGATAAGACTCTAATAACTGACTGGACTTCAAATGTGCTCTTGGAGTAGCAGTTGACGCAACTGATAAGTAGTAACAACTTGGAATGGAGCACTTTCCCTAAACTCCCCTTTATTTGTAAATTCTTTAAAAAATGTATTATTCACAGGCATAAGTGAACGGAGTAGCAGTTGATGCTTGAGAGAATTTAAGTCATTTCAAGGGTCCAAATGCTCGCACCCAATATTTTCTACAGCAACAACGGGAAAAATTCCGTCATGCGACGTTTCCCCTGCGAATAGAACTTAACTTTTGGGGTAAAGGGACACATGTGAACCAGCATGGGAAAGTTGTAGCAACCTTTGGAGGAAATGGCGGGTATTTTCACTGTTCATTAACCAAGTAACCCTGCTGAGCCACGCTTTCGTTCCTGACTGAGCTTTAGTCGCTGGCTGATCTTAGGCCTTCCTATTGCTAACTAGCTTTAAATTGAAGGACCGATTTGTGGCGCGATTACCAGACCTCGTTGGCAGAACTTTAAATAAAAAACCTTTGCGGTCGGTGTGGGAAGATCTTCGGATCTTTTACCTCTATGGCAAAGCGTAATAAATCGGTCTGGACGGATTTTTTCTACGGTAGTGTAGTGACATTAAACTGCCTTTTCGTTTTACTTGGTTAAATATGCTTTGAATTAACTTTACACAACTTTGAAATAAGACGTTGAACAAGCACGTGCTTTTATCTGCAAACGATTTTTTTCTTATTTACTAATTCATAACAGTTGGGATACTCCTATCTTAGGTTCCTGGATAGACTCTTTCATATCCCACAGTAGTGTCCTTTGGAAACAATTTTATCATCTGAGCAGCCTATTTGCGCACATGCCTTTCGAAATACCTATTGGTTCATCCATCGCCTTTTCTTTTTCAGGGCAGTGGGGTTAATAAATGTTTAAAAAATTAATATACTTTTTTCACCCACGAAGCTCCGTTTACTTAAGTCAAATGTACGAGTACCAGAAGCTTTTTTCTGTTCCCCATGAACAATAACACCAACGGAAACTCTGTCAGGTGTTTAGAATGGGAAGTGGGCCGTGACACTTCGGGGGAGGCAAAGTAAGGATGAGCGGACGAGCCACGCCTTTGTTGACTCGTCTTTCCAGCAGAATTTCACGGGATGTGTGCGTGAACGAAGTGCAGACACATGTTGACAGGAGAGTTTGGTGCAACCGTGCGTCACATGAGCTGCCCTTGCCTTAGGCGTGTACAGGAAAGAGCTTACTTTAAGCCAAATAAATATACCTTCCTCCTCCCTCTTTCCCTGCCTCCCCCCCCTCGCTAGGCACGGGAAAGGGGAACAGGCATTAACAACTTACTTATCTATTAGGAAGTTTGGCAGATTTTACCTTATTTGAGTTGACCCAATTCTCTGATGCGCGGGTTCAAATCCCGCCAAAGGCCTCGAGTTTTTTCACAATTGGGTCAACTCAAACTTACTTATCCACCTTTACTGGGCATTCCTAATTGACTGTTAATTTATTATAAGCATTATAATGACGTAAGGGATTTAAACTTTGTTAAATTAAAGCATGCAGAGTGCAGAAGGGGAGGGTCCTTCTCTGGGTCTGGTGCACTTGGTGGTTGTTGGGAACCATCCATAATTGGTGCCCCGTCCTCATGTGTGGCGTCCCGAAGCTGTGCTTCGCTTAGTAGTGGCCATTTCCCGCTAACCGTTTCGACCGACAGGTTAAACTAGATGCGCTTGAAACTATCGCGGTGCGCTAAAAGCCGTGGCTTGGAGGGTTGCCAACTGACGGGATAACTTGGACACTCACTCGGCCTTTCGTCCCAGTGCGCGGCGGACGCGAGGCTGCGGCGCTCTCTCTCTCGCCCCTCATAATCGAACTCCACCCCAGGCCGAGTCAACCCTTCTGTTAATTCTTCACCTACTTAGTATGTACAGAATACAATCTCCTTCTACCTTGGCTTCCACGACTTCTATCTTCTTCTAAGGAACCGGGCCTGAAGATCGCAGTAGTTAGGGTTTAACCGGCTTAGCCTTAACCCCTTTTCGATAACCGCAACACCGCACACGCAGTTTAATAACAACGAGCTCTGCGAGCAAAATAGGCTACACACAACCTGCATCAACCACAGCACTGAAACCAATAACACAGCTCTCTTCTGATGCCGAATCCTGGTGGTACGGCCGATGAAGAAGGTGCAACGTATTTGGATGACTCGGAATGTCCCGGAAGGGCAAGGGTACAGTTCTGCGAATCCTGCAAACAAGTTTCAGGACGAAATTTAACTGGGTGATTTAGCGTATATCTGGACACGTTATTTTGATCAAATGAGCGGATTTAATAACAAGAAGGCTTTGGTTTGGAAAACTGCCCTCTTATTTAAAGTTATTGGGGGAAATA